GAAGAGCCAAGTTCTCTACTCAATAAACCTACCACAGCAGTGCCATTAACTTGCAAGCTTCCAACTACCCAACATGACAAAGTTTCTGAAGGACAGGTCCTAGATGTAGGTTAATGCTAAATGTTAAAAGAATAAAAGCATTTGAAAAATCTATATAAAAAAATTTTTAGTGCTTCCTGTAAGACAATCTCAAAAACGTTAATTTCACCTCTTCCTAGTTCTGTCACAGGGGGATCTTCCACTTCTGAATACTCTTCAGTAAGAATGACAACACACGGATAGAAAGTTAGCATTAATAAGCATGAAGCATGGAAAACAGACCCAGGGCACACACAAAAAACAGTACAACAAAGCAGTTGTGGTTTGTTTTTTCCTTAGTGCTTTTTTAGCAACCAGTAGCAAATGCAACAATAACTTCCTTGGGAAGACAGGAGGGGGGACATAAAGAGAGATGAAGTACTGCTCAGGATTCAGTGACTTTGAAAAATGCATAGGATGAGACCTCAAGGTCAATAGGTTTTATTCGATTTCTTATACGTAATTTCTAGGTAACGGTTCCTCTGTTTCCTAGTTCACTTTCACTCATTCTGCATTACTATGTCTAATTTCTCTGTTGTCAATAAAAACTAAAACCAGTAGTTAGCAATAAAATCTTTCTTTGGAGGGTAGCTTGTTACAGAGCAAGTAAGTAACCAACAGGTTACTTTCAAAAGATCAAAGGGAATTTCACCTGATGGAAAGTGAGAAAACTGGAGTTGAGGTTGTTACCTCCCACATCATGACAAGACAACAGCTTGGCCATCAGCTCCCTCCTTGTACCATAGAATTACAGAATCATAAAGGTTGGAAAAGACCTCTAGGATCAGTGGTCAACCCATCCTTGCCCACTAACCATATCCCTCAGGCTACATCTACACCTTTCTTGAACATCTTCAGGGATGGGGAGCCTCCCCAGAACATAAAGATTGTGTTTCCTCTTTTTCCCTTTCAAGTTCCTCCCTGCACTGAATGCTCTGATACCTTAGACCAAACAGACCTACAAATGAGTAGTAATTCAAGAGTGGCCATTCCAATAAATAAACAAAGAAAAATGATGTGAGTCAGTGATGTGGCCAGTAGAAGAGATCTGCACCCACCAAGTCTTACCATCATTTCCAAGCAACATAACCCTATGTTTTGTATGTTCTTACTATAAGCTAAGAAAATAAATGCTTTCCTTTCCCACTCACTGTCATAATACTAAGGTACTGTAGGAAGTGTTTATGGCTAATTTAGGGGCCAGATTTTCACATCAAGAGAAAATAGCCTTACAGCTGTGAGTTGTAAATAGTGCTCTCCAGGACCAGACAATCATAGTCAGCTTCTTTGGTGGCAGCCAATATTTCAGAATCCAGCTGGGTATCTGAGCACCCTTGGCAGATATCACCAGAGGCTGATCTTGGCCAGTACTGGGAAGGAGCTATCAATATATATCCAACTCAAGGAGTGAAGAGCAAAAAGCAATGCTGACTCCAGTTTATTTTATTTTAAAGGGCTTTGTTTGTTTCTTACCTATTTTGGCCTTTGTGATCCAGACAACTCTGTGTTAAACTCTGCTAAATCACTTTTGAAATAAGGATTCATAATGGGTGGGTTTTCAAGCATCTTGATGGCCTTTTCCAAGCTTCTTCATGGTTGAAAGACTCAAAGGCTGTGAAGAGCCTACAGAGATCTAGATAGAAGGGGCTAGCGTAATTCTCCAACAAAGAAAATAGTTTCTGCAGCTCTGCATCCACAAGTTACATGTTCATCCATCCTTCATTATATTTTGTCCTCTAAGCTTCAGAAAAAATATAATCTGCAGATCCACCTCTGTATTCCAGATAACTAGCACATAGTCTGCACTTACCAGACTGTTCAATTAGACTAAATCTGTGTTAATCCATCTTTCAATTTTCCAAGCTGTATATTAATACATTTGAATCATGAAAACAGAATCTTTATCATCGAGTTGATTCAACAAGATAAAAATATTAACAAAGACTCATTTCTCATCTCTGCAGTATAAATCCTGTACATCAAATTATGATACAAATTAATGACTAATCTCTAAATGCTGTGAGATATCCATTTAATGCAACAAAACAGCATTCATGAACAACTGACTTCAGGGAATGTTGTATTCATATTAGCTTAATACCTTTTGTATTCAGTTTCTGTTTATTCATTAAGATTTAAGATCCATTTACCTACGTATTTCTAAGACACCATAGATATCTTGGTTTCAGAGTTCCATGTCATTCATGAATAATAAACCCCAGCAAATACATGCTAGAGAAAGGCCATATAAACACTCATTCAACATGTTTCTACCTCACAAATTTTCACTTGTACCTTATAAAGATCGTCTCCACTATGTGACATCACGCAAAACAGCCTATTCAACTAGTAACACTGACACACATAACTTAGCATGCAACTTAGAATACAATCTATTTCTCAACCACTAAACAAGCATGCAACAAAAGGTCTCCCACACAGATACAAACTCATCCACCAATAACTAACACAGCTGCTGCTTTCATTATTTTATTGCTGACCTGCATGTTCTCAAGTCTCAAATTCTCAGTTTTTGGTATGCTGGCAAGTCAAAAACCACTATGCCATAAAAACAGTATTTCCTATTTTCTATGTAAGGGAAGATTTCTTGACTTATCCGTAGTTAAAGACTATAGTGGTTAGGTAATAAGGTACCCCTAATAGTTGTTCTCAAAGGTCTTAATCACTCTGAAATCCCTGTTTCTTACTGATCTCTTTGTAGCGTGTGTTTTCACAGATGTGTGCAAGTTGAAAATAGCTTAACAAATAAGAGACAGAACACAACCATATTAACTACCAAAAGCTTGTTAGGAGCAAAAAATATTTACAAGGGCTTACTGGTATGTCAAGGACCCATGGCACATTCAGGTTCACACGTCAGGCTAAGACACAGCAACCTCAGCAGCTGGTATAACATCCAACAACAACATGCATCAAGGTGAACATTCTGGTATTTCGCCCATTATAATCTGACCCCCGTACTCATCAGCCACGCACCAGTGTCACAGAATATTTTCCCTACTTTCATCCACATTATTCATTTCTGTCATCACAGATCTAAGGGTTTTAAAGCATTATCCTTATCAAGGTCCAAGTAGCAACTTAAGACATTAGGAAAAGAAACAATCTATTTTAACAGATACAGTCGCAGTAATCCATCTGACTTGCAGAATGTAGCAGCAGCCACTAACAACACCAGACACATCTGTTTTGGTTATTATATAGAATTAGGCAAACTGAAACTACTTTGGCTTATTGGACGGAAGGACAGAGATTTAAGCGAGGCTAGCATCCAGTCTTTCAACTACACATTGTTTTAAGCAGACAAATATTAAGTCAGAAACTGGAGATAACCGCAGGGCCAAGGACAGCAGCAGTACATTTTATTCAATCAAGATTACTCCTGCACAGTACATCTCTACCAGCTGCTGTCTATGACCACCAAGATAGAGAAGTAGCTAAATTCAGTAGAGACCATATCAAAAAACCCATGTGCCTTGCATTGTATAATTATTGCTGCCTGTCTGCTTTGACCTTGGATTGCTGAGTACATGCATGTGTCCCTAAATGTGAAGGTGTTCCTGTGTCAATGTCTGTCCTCAACGTCCTCTCTCTCAAATAAGAAAAATCCCATAATATGGCAAGCTGATCTTGTTAACCATGACTTCAGGGAGCTACAATAACTTGGAAGAGCTTGGAGGAAATAAAAAGTAATGGCAAAAGGAAGGATGGGGTGAGAGGAGGTAAAAAGGAAGAGACAGAGATGGATTTTCATGTAACATAAAGTACAGAGAGAGAACAGCCCCAAAAATGAAAGCAGGAATAAAGAAAGAGATCAGAATGAAAGCTGAAGTGATGGAAAAGTATTATGATGAATAACAAAGAATTAGAGTCCTCTTAGTTATCCTTGTTGGGATATCTGCTGCTGAACAGGAAAAAAGCCATCACTGATCATTTGGCCGGAAAAAGTCACTGCCATCTCCTCCACAGACTGCCTCAACAAAAAGTAACAAATGGGGCTAGTAATTCTGTCCCATAGAAATGATTAGCAAAATTAAATACCAACAGGAACTTGAAAGAAACATTGCAAATTGAACTTGAAACAGAAGCAAGCAAAAAACACGGTGTTATTTGTATTACAACAGAAGGTCAAACCAGATGCAGAGATCCTTGAAGCCCTATGAGTTATATATACTTTTTTTTTTTTTTTTTTTTAAAGTCACAAGTAGTTCAAGTTTTCAAGACACTGGGTGACACAATACACTCCTTACAACATCAAAACATCTTTGAAATCAATACTGTTTATACCACAAAAAAGTGCTGGGGTTTTTTTTGCTGCTTTTATAGAAACTGCTATTTGCTACTGTAACAGCTAATGAAAGAGACCTCTTCATTACCTCCTACACTGACAAGAAGAGAAATGCACACAATAAGAATATATTGTATTTATGCCAGGAAAAAAAAAAACCCACAACGCCAGATGGAAGCACACGTTTGAAGAACAGCTTAACTGCTGAATCTTGAAAAAGCAAGCATATTAAGATATTTTAAAACATAGTGAAGCAGAAAACATGAGATGGAGTTTAACTTCCCTGAAAAAGCAAACCACAAGTGTGCAGGATGAACTAAGAGCAGAAACTGCTTTACAATTAATTTCCAAAAGACATTTTGTCTACACCTCGTTAGCTTTTATCCTCTTGTTTTTTAAGTAGGGTCACTTTAGGGACCAGGACACATAAATAATGCACACCTCCTATTTAAATAAAAAACAGCAAGTAGCAGCAATTGCAACCTAAGCCAAGAGGCTTTAACTTACACGTCAGATTTGATATCTACCATTTCAACACATTGTCACAATGGGCCACCAAACACTCAGTACTTTTTATGTCACTACAACTACAAGAGAGAAGATTTTCTCTTACCTGTGCTCTAACTCCCGGATGGACAGTATAACTCCTGAAGTCGATGCCTTCTGTTGAAGGGTCACCAGAAACGTGAACTCAGTTTTATTCCGAAAGAGCTGAACCAACTTCTCACTCACATGGGGTGCTGCATGGATTTCTCTTTCTGTATCTAAGGATTTTATTTTAAAAAAAAAAAAAAAAAAAAAAAAAAAGGGGGGGGGAGGGAGAGAAGCGGGAGGGAGAGGAACAATGGTCCAGTAAAAATGCTAAGTCAAAGATTCAGATTACATTTTTCATTTTGCCATTGATATTTTTCATTTCCAAGACACATGTACCACACGCTACCACTGCTTTTCTTCAGTGGAAAAAAGCCCAAACAAATGGCACCTTGTCAGCATGCCCACTTGTCACTTCAGCAAGTTCACAAGTGGTCAGCTACTGATTTTCTGACAATTTTTAATGGGATGCCAAGCCATTTGTGTTTGCTGTGACCAGATTAAATTGCTGTAAATATGGTGTGCTGCAGTCAGATAAATAGGCTCCTAAATTCTGAGGAATCTCAAGCACTGCCTCTCCCAACAGAATTCACCAAGCTCCAATTTCAGCTTTTACCGTCAGCTCCGTTACTGCCTTTCCACTGTACATCAGAGGGAACCTGTCCTTGCACCATTTAAGGCAGAGATGTATTACTGCTAATAACGCTACATGGTTGTGCTTCTGCCCAAGAAATAAATACAAGACATGCCTGCAATATGCTACAGTTTCAGGGATTTCTCAGTTTAAGCAAGCAAAGCGTGACAGCTCATGCAATATTTATTGGAACTGTGGTGTGACCAGGCAGATCCAGAAATATTCCAGTCTCACTAATCCTATCCATGCCCAAGCAGCAGCAGCACACCTTCTCCTATATCATCCTCGAAGGTTCAAATGCACCATCTCCCAACACATCCATTTTTATTTCATCCTTTTACTCACAATACATCATCACTCCCAAAGATGATTAAATGACAAAGTGCAGAAATTGTGGCATTTCACCTTCCTACCCCTTGTCATGTTGCTCATGCTGGGCCTTTGTCACACATTCACGAGACCTAAGCTGCTTGCAGTTCCTGGGTGTCACAACCAATTAGAAGCCTAGCAAGCTTCCTTTAGAAAAGGTTTATTTGAAGCCAAAAATGCCAATACAAATTCTCAGCTGGTAGAAAACCTTATAACTCTATCGAATCTTGAGAAGCTGGCCCAGCATGAGTGCTGTAATACACAAAGGAGTGATGAGATTTACAATTCAGAATTTCACTGCAGGGGAGGGGGGAAAAAAAGAATCATTAACTGAGGCTTTGCAAACTGAAAGAGAAGAAGCTGGCTTGAAAACAACCCGAAACTCAGGAATGTTGACTATGGAGGGAACGCCACAGACTGAAACCAAACTCTAAGGAAGAAGTATTCAAGCATGCTCTGTAATTGGGTGTCTCAACTTTCCCTGTACAGCTTAAAGCCCTTCAAATGAGCCTCCATGCTCAGAACGCATAACACACTTGCACTTTGGAAAGCTCACCTCTGAAAAGTACTGCAAATTAGACATCAAAAAATACAACTCATCACTTAAAAATCTTTGCCAGAGGCTCAAATTCACCCAATAAATAAATATAAAGGTCCACCTTACAGCACCTATTTGTCCAATACCACTTCCATCAGAAGAGAACAAAGCTTCAAAGAACATAAGTAGTTTCCACAGCCAACAGAAAGGGGAATGGAAGAAAGCACAGAGCAACAGGAGCAGGTTTTGTGTTTACCTACAAGATTTCATTATGCCTATCATTACACTCATGGAGCTTACCAAGCGTTACTCCTGGCCACAAATACTACTAGTCTTCTTTGAAACAGCTGACACAGGAGACACAGCACAAAGTATTCCATATATCAGGAAGCTCCCCAATATTACACCCAACTGCTGAATGTATCCTCTACTACACTAACTTAACGCACCTTCCACTTCTAATGGCTGCCAATTTAAAACACACAGCGGGTTTCTGACCCACTACACTGACAGAAAATCCATCAGTACTGCGTACCAAAGCACAAGTACTGTTCAGAAATAACATTTCCAAGCGCTGACAGCTAAAGACTGCTGTCTTGTTCTGAAGTCTAAGAACCCTCGTATCTCACAATTTTGTTGATAACGGTGCTAAACTCACCAGAAATAATATATTGCTTCTTTGAAGCTCTCAAAAATTTTGTTAAGTGAAAGCATAGACAGTGCTGTCAGTGGAACACATGCAAAAATTTCAATCAAGTCATGCAAAACACAACACATTCTAAATGGTCCAGATATAAAGCCATATACCCCCCATTTATCCACCAAATTTTATACAAATACCAGGCTCCTTAGTCAGATTCATCAGTGAATTATCAATTAACTGACTACTCCAGTTAGAAACGTGCTTGGAAATATCATGTTTTATTCTAGACCAGTGCTTAGTCACAAATACACTAACAACATGAACAGCACATCACATTAACTCCATTGATTAAAAGCAGAATTTGCCATAGATACAAAGTCCTGAAATTCCAAAAATGTGGGCCCAAACTGCTAGATAACAAACATTACTCAGGTGCTGTTTTGCAACCCTATTCTAAAGTAATCCATAACAAGGAAGTTTAGCTTTTTAAAAACAAACAAACAAACAAACAAACAACACACTTCTAGGGTTGGAGCTGCTTGTTGGTGTAAATCTGCTCGTTACCAGGCCAAGGAGGTACCAGTGCACAGGAGCATCCTCTCGCTGCAAAACCAAAGACAAAACTGCAGGTGTAGAAACATCTACTGGCAGAATAATAACAAGGGGTAGAGAGGGTTTTTCCCAGCAGTGAGACAGCAGGTGAGACTCAATAGCCTGCAACTGGACCTGGGAGCAGAGGAGCCCCTGAAGGCTCAACAGGAATCCAGGAGTTCGCATCCATAATGCAGAGTGCAGGCAGCTTGCTGTTCTAAAGCTCACGTGCCTCCTGAGGAATCACAGCAAGGAGGCACACAGGCCTCAGAGACAGCGCAGCAGGGCAACCTGATCTCCAGGTATGTCATCAATTCATGTTTTGCATCACTTCTGCAGGAAGTGCCACACTAATGAATTGGGAGTACAATCCACTTAAAGTAAGAGCTTTCTATTTACAAGCTGATTTTCACTCAAAAAAAAAAAAAAAAAAAAAAAACCAAAAAAAAAACAAAAACAAACCACCCTGAACACACATACACCCCCTCACTGCAGGTGTCCAAAGGGGAAAATATATTTTACACTCTCTATAAAAATAACTGCCTGCTTGTAATGAAATGCCATATTTCCTACATAATGTAGAACGATACAGGCTTACACAGTAATCTTCAGTGAAACATCACTTCATGCCTGGATGATAATGGAATCTCAGCAATAAACAAAATAAATAAATAAGTGCAGATACAACTTTCATATGCCCTTCTATGTGATTATATTTTCTTAATGTGAAATACTGACTGTCTGGAGGGCTTTTTAAATATACTGGAATGCTTCTAAAAGAAAAAACCCACAGACTGAAAGTATAACAAGTACAACAGATACAAATCATCTCAGAGCATTAAGTGAACTTACTTTCCTCAGCCAAACAGAGAAACACAAGATACCTCCACATTAACAAGGCAAAGTTCTCAGTGTCCATAACCCATGGTACAAAAGGAAAGGGAATTACATGACTGTTTGGACTGGAGCTCAAGGCCTTGGAGAAAAAGAAAATCACACAACTGGTCTTACAAGACGAATCCCAATCCATCTGGGAAATCTTTATTCTTCACTAAATGCTTCCATGAGGAAAAAAATATATATATATATCACTAAAAACGCAGGTCTAAATCAAGCTGGGTCTTCTGTAACAAGACACAGTTTGTCATTAACTACCTTGCTTTAGTACTTTCTTGTTTTACTTCCTTATTCCAGCAGGGAATGAAGAGCATGCAGCTCTATTGGTAACCTCAATCATTGCAAAACTATTTGTTTAAACGCGCTTTTGGGACATCCTTTGCACAATCACGCCAGACAAGCACATAGAAATTAATCCTACAACAAGAGAAAGTCTGGATCTCAGTGACAGCAATTAAAGAATCGAATGTTGCAGCAGACTGGCTTTTACCTTGCTACGGGCAAAATCCAATAAGAGCTAAATCTCTCTATAGAGAGAAACACAGAAATAAAAACGGAGTGCTGAGTAAGTTATTTCAGATGCCAGCTTTTCAAGATGGAACCAAGAGCAGAAGAGGCAGTGTCCAGAAGTTGGCTGGGATGGAAACAGAAGACAGCACCACAAAACCCTTCTCAGTGAAGGCAAGCATTCACCGAAGCACAGACTCCTACATTGGCCTCATAGACTGTCTATCAAAGAACTGATAAAACCAGTGCCAGACGCCCCTGCTGCCCATCTGCTCCCACTCCTCTCCAACCATTACTCAGCCCAGACAAGACGGTGACAGAACCTCTCCCTTCCCCTTCAGCTACTACCAAATAGGCTCACAGAAGGCATGATGTTCTCCCACGAGTACATCTCTGCTGCTAGGTATTCTCACCAGCACAAAAAAAGACATGCTAATTGCTTTATTCGCCCTTGCCTTGCTAGCTCCGCTCAGAGTTGGTAATAAACAGTAGGAAATCATGTTCAACAGCACAGCTTTCTAAATTATGATTATTCACTATAAATCACTTTTTACATGTTGCTTCAGACAATGTTCCTCAAGAATAAGATCCATCTGCAGTGAAATGCTTGGCGATTTTAATATGCAAACCTCCCACAGAGATGATGTCTCATTTTAATTATTCTTTCGGCTTAATGGGTTTTCATTAAATTAGAGGAAGGAGCAATTATCAGGGTGAATAGCTAATGTTACAAAGGTAAGCTCCCATGACTATACAGCAAAGGCAGTTCTGCTAGAGAAGGTGGAAAAACAGTAATAACGCAATGTAAACTCTTCCTTTGCAGCATGCAAAACTATCCTGGCAGTAAACATTAAGATATCACTGACAAACATACATCAGAATGACAACTAGTTTACAAACTAGGTCTTGCCTAACAAAATTAATCTAGCATTCAAAATTACAGATACATTTCATTCCATCCAGTAAGCTACTGCAAATCCAGGCCTAAAACTCC